TTCCCCAATGAACTTCGTTCCAGTTTCAGTGACTCCACCAGAGGCCCAGGAGAGGCCACCTTCCTGTTCCAGCGTCTGAGTGTGGACATTCAGAGTGTGGACGCCTTCTGCGTTCTCAGTCCCACCCACCAGCTCAGCAGCTACAGAAGATTCCTAAGTTTTGTGGTCTGTTTTTCAGCTCTGTTGTTTGAGCTGAGGAGGTAACAAGGCAATTGAACAAACGAGACGGTAGTTACCTGTGAGAAACCTTCCTTCCTGTTGTTGTTGTTCCTTCTATTGCCTTTTACTGCTGTTCGCCGCTTCCCTCCACATTCTTCCCTCCACACCCTTCCCTCCACACCCTTCCCTCCACACCCTTCCCGCCACACTAGAGGCCTGGAATATTACCCCCCAAGGGACACTATCAGGCCTAAGACGCGAGCACCAAGGGAAAGGGGGAATGGGAAGGAGGGAGGGGGAGGGATGGTGGAAGGGGGATGGAGGAGGGAGGGGGATGGATGGTGGAAGTAGGAGGGAGGAGAGAGGGGAGGGATAGTGGAAGGGGAAGGGAGGAGGGGGGTGGGAGGAGGGGGAGGGAGGGAAGAACCCCCTGTCTACTCTCTGTTTTTAATTTTTTTTATACACTTATTTATTTTCTTCATCTTCCTGCGAATTCTACTTTCAAAGTTTGTTTTTGCAGGGGGGAAAAGGGGGTCGAGACTCAGCTCCTGGCCCCTCATCCTAGATTACTTTGATATGCATCACTGACTTCTGGCCTCTTGGGCTTTATCATACTTACTCTTGAAGCTGTGTATTGTGTCTCCTCCACTGCCTCATCCAAGTCATTCCACTTTTCAATCATCCCGAGACTAAAGAAACACTTCCTGACATCCCTATGAATCTTCTTTGTATTCAGCTTCCACCTGTGTCCCCTTGATCCTGATCCCCTTGATCCTGATCCCCTTGATCCTGATCCCCTTGATCCTGATCCCCTTGATCCTGATCCCCTTGATCCTGATCCCCTTGATCCTGATCCCCTTGATCCTGGTCCCCTTGATCCTGATCCCCTTGATCCTGGTCCCCTTGATCCTGATCCCCTTGATCCTGGTCCCCTTGATCCTGGTCCCCTTGATCCTGGTCCCCTTGATCTTGATCCCCTTGATCCTGATCCCCTTGATCCTGGTCCCCTTGATTCTGGTCCCCTAGATCCTGGTCCCATTGATTCTGGTCCTCTTGATCCTGGTCCTATGGATACTGGTCCTCTTGATCCTGGCCCCTTGATCCTGGTCCTCTTGATCCTGATCGCCTTGATCTTGGTCCTCTTGATCCTGGTCCCCTTGATCCTGGTCCTCTTGATCTTGGTCTTCTTGATCCTGGTCCCCTTGATCATGGTCCTTTTGATCCTGGTCCTCTTGATTCTGGTCCTCTTGATCCTGGTCCTCTTGATCCTGGCCCCCTTGATCCTGGTCCTCTTGATCCTGATCTTCTTGATCTTGGTCCTCTTGATCCTGGTCCTCTTGATCCTGGTCTTGATCCTGGTCCCCTTGATCCTGGTCTCCTTGATCCTGGTCCTCTTGATCCTGGTCCTCTTGATCCGGGTCCTAGTTATCCTGGTCCTCTTGATCCTGGTCCCCTTGAACCTGCTCTTCTTGATCCTGGTCCTCTTGATCCTGGTCCTCTTGATCCTGGTCCTCTTGATCCTGGTCCTCTTGATCCGGGTCCTAGTGGTCCTGGTGCTCTTGATCCTGGTGCTCTTGATTCTGGTCCCCTTGATCTTGGTCCTCTTGATCCTGGTCCTCTTGATCCTGGTCCTCTTGATCCTGGTCCCCTTGATCCTGGTCCTCTTGATCCTGGTCCTCTTGATCCGGGTCCTAGTGATCCTGGTCCTTTTGATTCTGGTTCCCTTGATCCTAGTCTTCTTGATCCTGGTCCTCTTGATCCTGGTCCTCTTGATCCGGATCCTAGTGATCCTGGTGCTCTTGATCCTGGTCCCCTTGATCCTGGTCCTCTTGATCCTGGTCCTCTTGATCCTGGTCCTCTTGATCCTGGTCTTCTTGATCCTAGTCCCCTTGATCCTGGTCCTTTTGATCCTGGTCCTCTTGATCCTGGTCCTCTTGATCCTGGTCCCCTTGATCCTGGTTTTCTTGATCCTGGTCCTCTTGATCCTGGTCCTCTTCATCCTAGTCCCCTTGATCCTGGTCCTCTTGATCCTGGTTCTCTTGATCCTGGTCCTCTTGATCTTGGTCCTCTTCATCCTAGTCCCCTTGATCCTGGTCCTCTTGATCCTGATCCCCTTGATCCTGGTACTCTTGATCCTGGTTCTCTTGATCCTGGTCCTCTTGATCCTGGTCCCCTTGATCCTGGTCCTCTTGATCCTGGTCCTCTTGATCCTGGTCCTCTTGATCCTGGTCCTCTTGATCCTAGTCCCCTTGATCCTGGCCCTCTTGATCCTGGTCCCCTTGATCCTGGTCCTCTTGATCCTGGTCCTCTTGATCCGGGTCCTAGTGATCCTGGTCCCCTTGATCCTGGTCCTCTTAATCCTGGTCCTCTTGATCCTGGTCCCCTTGATCCTGGTCCTCTTGATCCTGGTCCTCTTGGTCCTGGTCCCCTTGATCCTGGTCCTCCTGATCCTGGTCCTCTTAATCCTGGTCCTCTTAATCCGGGTCCTCTTGATCCTGGTCCTCTTGATCCTGGTCCTCTTGATCCTGGTCCCCTTGATCCTGGTCCTAGTGATCCTGGTCCTCTTGATCCTGGTCCCCTTGATCCTGGTCCTAGTGATCCTGGTCCTCTTGATCCTGGTCCCATTGATCATGATCCTCTTGATTCAAAAAGTCCTATCAATTCCTCTCAAGATTTTGTATGTAGCAATCATATCCCCCCTTGTTTTTCTCAGCTCTGGTACTAATCTGGTTGCAAATCTTGGGATCTTTTCCGATTTCTTCAGGAGCTTGACCAGGTGTGGGCTCCATACTGGTGCTGTGTACTCAATGACTGGCCTTACGTATGTTGTGTGATAGATTTGATGAATGTGTGTGTGTGTGTGTGTGTGTGTGTGTGTGTGTGTGTGTGTGTCTGATCATCCCACTTAAAATATTCATATCTTTAATTACATTCTCACTTTAAAACCCCTTAATCCCTCCTAGTAATCCTCCTTTATAAAGTCCTTTTAAATCCCCTAGAAGTGTAGGATAATCCCATCTCTTTCTCCACAGGAGTGACTGGCTTTCTTTAATCCCTTTCTTAAACTTTAAAGTCAATCCGTTTACCAGAGTAATCCTTCTATTTCTTCACTATTTTAATAAATCCCTCTCTCACTTTTTTAATTACCCAAGGAACAAACCGAAATGAAATCCTTTATCATTGTAAATCCCCTTAAATTCTTTAAGGATTTTTTCCGTATATATTTTCTTCTTCTACGAGTCTTTTAGTGGTGAACCCTAATTATTGATCTACCTTTAAAGGTAGAACCCAAAATCTTGACCTACCTTAAGGAAGGAACCCTAAATCTTGACCTACCTTAAGGAAGGAACCTTAAATTTTGACCTACCTTAAAGAGAGAACCCTAATTTCGGACCTTACTTTCAGGGTTAATAACCTCTAAACCCTGATATTCCTTAGGTCTGGAAGCCCTGGAAACTTTCTTGCTTAAGGCTCAGGTAACTTAAAGTCTCAAATCCTTCTACAGGGTGGAATCCTAAGCCCTAAAATCCAACGAGGTTAGAGTTAATAATCCCGACGTCCCTCAGGGCTAGTAGCTTAATTTTTATAAACAGGGATCTCAATCCAGATATAATCCCTAGGATGGGAGCCTTCAGAACCCTGACTTTCCCCTCAGGCTAGAATCCAAGACGCTGTGAGAGTAAGACACATGTGCAACATCTGGGTATCTTTATTGTAGACGTTTCGCCATCCAGTGGCTTTATCAATACAAATTCTAGGACATAACTTGAAGACAGTAGAACTATGTACAGAATTTGTATTGATAAAGCCACTGGATGGCGAAACGTCTACAATAAAGATACCCAGATGTTGCACATGTGTCTTACTCTCATCTTGTCGGTATTATATACCATTCGTACACAATCCAAGACGCTGCTGGAATCCTAGACCCCGCTAATCCCTATTCCTGGATAAATCATAACAAATTTAATCTTAGAACTAGACTGAATAATATGCGTTAGAATCCTAACTCACGTTGAAATCCTAGAACTTCTTGGAATCTTGGACCTGCCTGGAATCCTAGACCCTGGCTGAATGATAGAGCACAGTAAACCATAGAGCTCACTGGTGTTCTAGAGCTCACTAACTGCTAAAAAGCCTGCTTGAACTCCCTAAATTACAAGAGCCTCCTGTTACCCACTAAATATTAGAGCTTTCTAGAGTTCAACACACCATACTAGAGCCTAATGCTCACTAAGCAACTCGCTGTGCACTAAACGCCTACTAGAGCGCATTAAACTAGAGCCTATTAAAACCCACTAACTAGAGCCTGCTAGAACCCACTAAATTAGAGTCTACTAGAACCCACTAAACCAGAACCTGTTAAAACCCAACAAACTATAGCCTGCTAAAACCCACTAAACCAGAGCCCTGCTAGAACCTACTAAACCAGAGCCTAGTAGAACCCACTAAACTAGAACCTACTAAACCAGAGCCTGCTACAACCCACTAAACTAGAACCCATTAAACCAGAGCCTGCTAGAACCCACTAAACTAGAACCCACTAAACCAGAGCATGCTACAACCCACTAAACTAGAACCCATTAAACCAGAGCCTGCTAGAACACACTAAACTAGAGCCGGCTAAAACCCACTAAACCAGAGCCTGCTACAACCCACTAAACTAGAACCCACTAAACCAGAGCCTGCTAGAACCCACTAAACCAGAGCCTACTTGAACCCACTAAACCAGAGCCTGCTAGAACCCACTAAACCAAAGCCTACTAAAACCCACTAAACCAGAACCCTTCTAGAACCTTAGACCTCAATAAGTGAGAGACGTTCATCCTCACATCATCTACCTCGCCCATGGGCAGGACGGAGGGAGCTTCCGGGTCTCGTCTCTTGTTCTTGGCCTGCGCCTCCGCCTCCTCCAGCCACGCCTGCAGCACAGGCTTCAGGGCGATCATGTTGTTGTGGGAGAGTGTCAGGGACTCGAACCTGCGGCAAGATGGTGAGAAGTGTGTGTGTGTGTGTGGGATCATAGATCACCGGAGATTATATAATATTTATTGAGATTTTAAATGATATGTATATATATATATATGTACATATGTATGTAGAGATAAGTAGTAGTAGGAGTAGACGTACCTGCAGATGGTAGACTGGGAGAGAGCACCTACACCAGGAAGTTTGAGGTTCGCTAAAGCTTTGCCTACATCAGCTTGGGTGACACCCAGCTTGATGCGTCTCTGCTTGAAGCGTTCTGCGAAGGCCTCTAGTTCCCGGGGGTCCGTGTCCGTGTCGTGCATGCTGGGCCACGGACCAGCCACGGACAGAGGAAGGAGGTGAGAGGAAGGGAAATGGGAGAGAGAGAGAGAGAGAGAGAGAGAGAGAGAGAGAGAAGGGGTCAGGGAGGGAGGCAGGGAACCAGGGAGAAAGAGAAACAGAAAAATAAAGCGAGTGGAAGAGAGACAGTGAAAAGTGGGAAAGAGGAAAAGAGAATTACATCTCATTAGTAATAATAATAACAATAATAATAATAATAATAATAATAATAATAATAATAATAATAATAATAATAATAATAATAATAATAATAATAATAATAATAATAATAATAATAATAATAATAAACAATAAATAATAATAATAATAATAATAATAATAATAATAATAATAATAATAATAATAATAATAATAATAATAATAATAATAATAACAATAATAATAATAATAATAATAATATAATAATAATAATAATGAAAACTTTGGTAACATTAATAACAATGACCAACAAGAACATTACCAACTTAATACTTAAATATCTTGATTAATACTCTAATTTACTTTTAATCATGTTATTGTAAGTCAGATACTAAAATATTTATTATTTTTCTATTTATATATATATATATATATATATATAAAATATATATATATATATATAATGTATGTGTGTTGTGTGTGTGTGTGTGTGTGTATTTCTTGTGTATCATACACAAATAACCCGCACATAAAAGAGAGAAGCTTACGACGACGTTTCGGTCCGACTTGGACCATTGACAAAGTCACTTTGTCAATGGTCCAAGTCGGACCGAAACGTCGTCGTAAGTTTCTCTCTTTTATGTGCGGGTTATTTGTGTATCGTTCCAGTCACGGTATTGTGCCTTTTTGTTATTTCTTGTGTATCTTTTGCAGGTAGTGTGGGTGGAGTGTGTGTGTGGAGTGTGGGTGGAGTGTGTGTGTGGAGTGTGGGTGGAGTGTGGGTGGAGTATGTTTGGAGTGTAGGTGGAGTGTGTTTGTAGTGTGTGTGGAGTGTGTGTGGAGTGTGTGGTGGAGTGTGGGTGGAGTATGTTTGGAGTGTAGGTGGAGTGTGTTTGGAGTGTGTGTGGAGTGTGTGTGGAGTGTGGGTGGAGTGTGGTGGAGTATGTTTGGAGTGTAGTGGAATGTGTTTGGAGTGTGTGGGGTGTGGGTGTAGTGTGGGTGGAGTGTGGGTGGAGTGTGGGTGGAGTGTGGATGGTGTGTGGGTGGTGTGGGTGGAATGTGGGTAATGTGGGTGGTTACAGACTCACCTTAATGGCATGTGTGGATGAGTAAGGCCAGGATGGGGCATCATGGTGTTCATGGGACTATGGGAGTAGACAGCACCATGGAGCTGATGCATGGAACTGCCGTCACTCATGGGAGTGAGGGTCGTCATGGAGGAGGACGAGATAGGATCCAGCATCTCTAACCCATCCATGCTGTGATGACCCATCTGAGACAGGAGATGAGACACATTACTGAGAGATATTTATATTAGTGAGAAAGACAGAAGGAAATGAACGAATATATATATATATATATATATATATATATATATATATATATATATATATATATATATATATATATATATAATATATATATATATATACATACATGTACAGACGTACCTGTGTCTTTCCTCTTTAACAACAATGATAGGTTCGAATCAATTTTATTTTCAACTTTATTAAACTGTCAGCGAAGGATGCAGTCTGGATAAAATTAGATTTAGAAAGGATATATATATACGAGAGCTAGTTTGCAATAGAATGGTATATTAGTGGAACAAACAGTCAGGTATCATGTTATATTAGTGGAACAAACAGTCAGGTATCATGTTATATTAGTGGAACAAACAGTCAGGTATCATGTTATATTAGTGGAACAAACAGTCAGGAATCATGTTATATTAGTGGAACAAACAGTCAGATATCATGTTATATTAGTGGAACAAACAGCCAGGTATTATGTTATATTAGTGGAACAAACAACCAGGTACCATGTTATATTAGTGGAACAAACAGCCAGGTATCATGTTATATTAGTGGAACA